GAACTAGAGGGAAATATCTAACATTTAAAAATACACCAAAACAATAAAATACCAAGGAATAAACTTAATCAAAGAGGTAAAAGACCTGTTTTCCGAAAATCATAAAACACTGATGAAAGAAACTCAAGATGATGTAGAGAAATAGAAAGATATTCCATCCTCATGGCTTGGAAGAACAAATATTGTTAAGATGTCTACACTACCCAAAGCAATCTACTGATTTACTGTAATTCCTACCAAAATACCACCAGCATTTTTCACAGAGCTAGAACAATCCTAAGATATGTATGGAGCCACAAAACAATCTTGAAACCCAAAACAATCTTGAAAAAGAAAACAAAAATTGGAGGTATCACAATTCCAGACTTCAGGTTATATTACAAAGCTGTAGTGATCAAGAGAGTATGTTACTGGCATAAAAATAGACACAGAGATCAATAGAATAGAATAGAAAATCCAGAAATGAACCCAAAACTATATGGTCAACCAATCTTCAACAAAGCAGGAAAGAATATCCAATGGGAAAAAGACATTCTCTTCAACAAATGGTGTTGGGAAAACTGGACATCAACATGCAAAACAATGAAACTGGAACACTTTCTTTCACCATACACAAAAATAAACTCAAAATGGATTAAGGGCCTAAATGTGAGGCCTCAAACCATAAAAATCCTAGAATAGAGCACAGGCAGTAGTTTCTCAGACACTGGTCATAACAACACCTTTCTAGATATGTCTCCTGATCCAAGGGAAATAAAAGCAAAAATAAACTATTGGGGCTACATCAAAATAAAAGGCTTCAACACAGCAAAGGAGACAATTAGAAAACTAAATGGCAACCTACTGAATGGGAGAATATATTTGCAAATGACACATCCAAGAAGTGGTTAGTATACAAAATATATAAAGAACTGATATAACTAAACACCCAAAAAACAAATAATCCAACTAAAAAATGGACAGAAAACATGAACAGACATTTCTCCAAAGGAGACATACGATGGCCAATAGACACATGAAAAGATGTTCAGTATCACTCATTATCAGGGAAATGCAAATCAAAATCACAATGAGATAGTACCTTACATCTGTCAGAATGGCAAAAATCAAAATCACAAGAACCAACAAGTGTTGGCAAGGATGTAGGGAAAAAAGGAACTCTCTTGCACTGGTGGTGGGAATGCAAATTGGTACAGCCACTCTGGAAAACAGCATGGAGGTTTCACAAAAATTTAAAAACAGAACTACTCTAGCATCCAGTAATTACACTACCAGGTATTTACCCCCTCAAAATACAAAAAGCTAAGTCAAAGGGATACACACATCCCTGTGTGTATAGCAACATTATTTACAATAGCAAAATTATGGAAGCAGCCCAAGTATCCCATCAATTGATGAATATGGTATATGTATACAATGGAATATTATTCAGGCACCAAAAAGAATGAAGTCTTGCCATTTGCAATAACATGTATGGAGCTAGAGAGTATAATGCTAAGCAAAATAAGTCTGTCAGAGAATTTATATGTGGAATTAAAAAAAAAAACAGAGAAAAAGAGAAAGAAAAGATAAACCAATAAGCAGACTTTTAATGGTAGAGAACAAACTGATGGTTACCAGAGGAAAGATATGTGGGTTGATGAGTTATATAGGTGTTGGGGATTAAGGACTACAGTTGTTGTTATGAGCACACAGTGATGTATAGAATTGTAGAATCACTACATTGTACACCTGAAACTAATATAACACTATATGTTAACTATATTAGAATTAAAATTAAAAATAAAAAAACAGAGAAACAATAATTTAATAATAATAGATAATTTCAGTGAAGTTGTAGGATATAAAATCAATGCACAAAATCAGCTATTTTTCTATATACACTGACAACAAACTATCTGAAAAAGAAGTGAAGGAAATAATCCTATTTACTATAGCATCTGAAACAACAAAATATTTAGGAATAAATGTAGCCAAGGAGGTGAAAAATTTGCACACTGTAAAGTATAAAACACGGATGAGAAAAATTGAAGACACAAGTAAATGGAAATATATCCTGTGTTCATGGATTGGAAAAATTAATATTATTAATATATCCATAATACACAAAGTGATATACAGATTCAATGCAATCCCTATCAACATCTCAATGACATTTTTCACAAAAATGGGGAAAAAATCCTAAAATTTATATGGAAACACAATAGACTAGATAGGTGTAGTAATCAAAATAGTATGGTACTGGCAAAAAACAAAAACAAAAACAAAAACAGACATATAGAGCAATAAAACAGAAAAGAGAGCCCAAAAATTAATTCACGGATTTATGGTCATCTGATCTTCAACACAGTTGCCAAGAACATGGAAACAGCATATTCTCTTCAATAAATGGTATTGTGAAGCTGGATAACCCCATGAAAAAGAATAAAATTAGACTCTTTCTCATGTCATACACAAAAACCTACTGAAAATGGATTAAGACTTAAATGTAAGATCTAAAACTATAAAGCTCCTGGAAGAAAACAGAAAAAAAAATTGACATTAATTTGGGCAATGATTTTTTGGATTTGGCCCTAGAAGTACAGTAAAAAAAAAAAAATACACAAGCAGGGTTGTATCAAACTAAAAACCTGGAACTAATTAACAAAATAGAGATAACATTTGGAATGAGAGAAATATTTGCAAACCATACATCTCATAAGGGGTTAATATCTAAAATATATAAAAATCTTATTCCATAACAAAAAATAAAATAATTAACCCAAATAAAAATGGGTAAAGTGTTTGTATTACCAAAGCAATCTACAGTTTCAGTAGAACCCCTACAAAAATACTGATAGCATTTTTTTTCCAGAACTAGAACAACTATTTCTAAAATTTGCCTCTAACTGCAAAAGATCATGAATAACCAAAGTAATCTTGAGGAAGAACAAAACTGGATATATCACAATCCCAGATTTAGATATACTACAAAGTTATAGTAATCAAAATAGAATGGTACTAGCGCAAAAATGAACATATAAATAAAAGAAACAGGATAGAGAGCCCAGAAGTAAACATCTACATAGTCAATTAATATTTGAAAATGGAGGCAAGAATACACAATGGAGAAAAGACAGTCTCTTCAATAAACAGTATTGTGAAAACTGGATAGCTACATGCAAAAGAATGAAACTGGACCACTTTCTTACACCATATACTAAAATAACTCAAAATGGATTAAAGAACTAAGTGTGAGACCTGAAATCATGAAGCTCCCAAAAGAAAACATAGGCTGTAATCTTTTGGACATCAGCCTTAGCAACATATTTATGGATATGTGTCCACAGACAAGGGAAATGAAAGTAAAATTAAACTATTGGGACTACGCCAAAACAAAAAGCCTTCACACAACAAGCAAAACCGTCCACCAAAAAAGGGGGGGGGCAACCTACTGAAGGGGAGAAGATACTTGCAAATAATATATCCTATAAGGGGTTAATATCTAAAACATATACAGAGTTTATACAACTCAACACACATACACACACACAAACACACACACACACACACACACACACACAGAGAGAGAAACAACCAATTTGATTTAAAAATGTGTAGAGGACCTGAATAGACATTTTTCAAAAAAAAAAAAAGATATACAGATGGCCAACAGACACACTAAAAGATGTTCAACACACTTATCATCAGGGAAATGAAAATCAAAACCACAATGACATATCACCTTACAACTTTTAGGATGAGTATTATTAAAAGACAAGTTGGTGAGGATATGGAGAAAAGGGAACCTTCATGCGTGATGGGAATGTGAATTCATGCAACCACCGTGGAAAGCCATTAAGAGGTTCCTCAAAAAATTAAAAAATAGAAGTATCATATGATCCAGCAATTCCACTTCTAGGTATTTTTCCAAAGAAAACAAAAACACCAATCTGAAGAGATATATTCACCCCTATGTTCTTTGCAGCATTATTTACAATAATCAAGATATGGAAGCAACCCAAGTGTCCATTGATAGAATGGATGAAAAAGACTTGGCACGCACGCACGCACGTGCACGCGCACACACACACACCCCAAATAATGGAATAATACAAAACTATAAAAAAAAAGAGTGAAATCTTGTCACTTGCAATAACATGGATGGATCTAGAGGGTATTATGCTAAGTTAAATAAGACAGAGAAAGACAAATACCATATGATTTTACATACATGTGGAAGGAATCTAAAAACTGAAATAAACCAACAAACGGAGTCTGAAGTACAGAGAACAAATTTGTGGTTGCCAAAGGGGTAGTGGGTGGGGTGATGGACAAAATAGATGAAGGGGACTAACAGGTACAAACTCTCAGTTATAAAATAAATAAGTCGTGGAATTGGAAAGAAGAGCATAGGGAATATAGTCAGTAATATTGTAATAATGTTGTATAATGACAGATGATGACTACACTTATATTGGTAAGTTATGTATAAAATTCTCAGATCAATACATTACACACTGGAAATTCATTATACACTGTGTATTAATAATACTTCAATAATAGATTAAAAAATTTGGGAAGCACGGGTAAAATAAGTGTTACTCAGAGTACACTTATCTAACTAAGCACAAGGAATATATAGAATTGTGGAATCACACTGTATGCTTAAAATTAATATAACATTTATTGTGTTAATTATACTTAAATTAAAATTTTAAAAACAAATATACCATATAAATTATAACCAAAAGAGAGTGAAGGTGGCTATAATAACAAAAATAAGTCAAAACTGTTGCAAGAGACAAAAAAGGACATTATATGTTGCCAGTAGTCAATTTGTCAAGGAGATATAACAATTAAAAATATATACACCAAACATCAGGTGTCAAAATATATGAGGTAAACATAGACACAATTGAAAGAGGAAATACAGAGCCCCTCAACAATAGTTGGAGAATTTAATACCCCACATTCAGGATCCATAAAATAATTAGACATTGTATAAGTAAGAGGACAGAAGTCTTGAACTGCACATTATATCTACTAGACCTGGCATACACATAACGGTCCATGAAACAACAGCAGAACACACATTCTTCTCATGTGCCCAGGGAACATCTTCCAGAATAGATGACTTCTAAGTCTACAAAACAATATGAACACATTTAAAAGGGCTGAAATCATGCAAAGCATTACTCTGTTCACAAAGGAATAATACTAGAAATCAGTAGTAAAAAAAAAAACAAACAGAAAATTCTCTAATATATGGAAATTAAACAACACTCAAAAAAGAAAGCACAAGGAAAATTTCAAAAATACTTTGAGAGAATCAAAACAAAACATATAACACAAAATTTTATATATAGGATGCAGTGAAAGCAGTGCTAAGATGGAAATTAATAGATACAAGTGTTTATATCAAAAAAAGAAGAAAGACCTTAAATCAACAACTCAAATTTACATGTTAAGTAACTAGGAAAAAAAGGAAAACTAAGCCCAAATGTAGCAGAATAAAGAAAATGATAAAAAATGAAGCAGAAACAAATGAAATAGATGATAGAAAAAAAAAGTAAATCAACAAAACCAAAAATTGGTTCTTTGAAGAGATCAAGAAATTTGACAAACCTTTACCTATACTGACTAAGTAAAAAGAGAAAAATTAAAATTATTAAATCAGTAATGAAGTGAAACCTTACTACTGACATTTCAGAAATAAAAAGATTGTAAAAGAGTATATTAAAAAAAGAGTATATGAGGGGCACCTGGGTGGCTCAGTGGGTTAAAGCCTCTGCCTTCAGCTCAGGTCATGATCCCAGGGTCCTGGGATCAAGCCCCACATCGGGCTCTCTGTTCAGCAGGGAGCCTGCTTCTCCCTCTCTCTCACTGCCTGCCTCTCTGCCTACTTGTGATCTCTGTCAAATAAATAAATAAAATCTTTAAAAAAAAGAGTATATGAAAAGTTGTCCACCAAGAAACTGGATAACCTAAATGAAAAGGACAAACTTTTAGAAACACACGATCTACCAAGATTAATTCATGAAGAAATAGAAAATCTGAATAGACCTATTACTAGTATGGAGATGGAATTAGTAATCAAAAACCTCTCAAGATAGAAAAGCCCTGCATCGGATGGTTTCCTTGAGTAAACTACATCAAACATTTAAAGAATTAACATTAAACCTTCTCAAACTCTTATGAAACATTGAGGAAGAGCAAAGATTTCCTAATTCATTCTATAAGGCTAGCATTATCATGAGATCAGAGGTAGACAAAAACATTAAAAGAAAGGAACTAGAGATCAATAATCCCTATGACTATTGATAGAAAAATCCTCTACAAAATACTAGCAAGCCTCATTTAACAGCATGTTAACATGATCATACATTATCATCAAATACAAGCATGGTTCAGCATACAGAAGTCAATCAATGTTTTTTCCTACATTAACAGAATGAAAATATACCACAGGATCATCTCAATTGATGCAGAAACATCATGTAACAAAATCTATCATCATGTCATAATATAAAATTATCAACAAACTATGAAAGGAAATTATCTCGAGATAATAAGGCCATATTTGAAAACCCCACAGATAACATCATACTTGGTGAAACTGAAAGCTTTGCCTTTCTCAAAAAATTAGTTGACTATATACGCATATATTCTTGGATTTGTTTCTTGGCTCTCCATTCTATTTCATTAGTTTGTGTGTCTGTTTTAATACCAGTACTATATTATATTACCAGTACTATATTACACTGTATTATATAATATATTACCATACCATCATGGAAAATACTATGGAGATTCCCCCCCAAAATATAAAAATAATACTACTATATGACCCAGCAATCTCTCTTCTGGACATGTAACCCCCAAAAATGAAAGCAGTACTTTCACAATAGTACCAAAAACAATAAAGTACTTAGGAATAAATTTTACCAAGAAAATAAAAAATCTGTACAATGGAAACTATAAGACTTTGCTGAAAGAAATCAAAGAAAACACACGGGAAAGGAAGGATTTCCTGTGTTCATGGATTGAAAGAGTAAATATTATTAAAACATCCATATTACCCACAGCCATTTATAAATTCAAAATAATCTCTATCAAAATCCCAATGGCATTTTTCACGGAGATAGAACAATAATCCTAAAATTTGTGGAACCATAGAAGACGCAAAACAGCCAAAGCAATAATGAGAAAGAACAAAACTGGAGGCATCACACTTCCTGATTTCAAGCTATATTACAAAGCTACAATAATTAAAACATATGGTACTGACGTAAAAATAGACACATATAGAATAGAATAAAGAACCTAGAATTCAACCCCCCCATACATGGTAAACTAATATTTAATAAGGGAGCCAAGAATATCCAATGTAGAAAATACAGTGTCTTCAACAACAAATGGTGCTGGGAAAATTGGATAACCACATACAGAAACATAAAATTGGACCCTATCTTACACCAGTCAGAAAAATCGGCCTGAAATAGATTAAAGACTTAAACATAAACTTAAAACCATAAAACTTCTAGTGAGAAAACAGAGGGAAGAATCTCCTTGATTCTTTGGTCTTGGCAATTTTTTTTGATATTACACCAAAAGCACGGGCAATAAAAGAAAAATAAACAAGTAAGATTAGATCAAACTTAAAAGTTTCTGCATTGCAAACAAATAAAAATCAACAAGATGAAAAGGCAACCTACAGATGGAAAAAAATATTTGCCAACTATGTATCAAAAAGTAAACTATCAGAAAGTAAATAATGTATCAAATTATGTAAACACCAAAATTTTTCAAGTATTCATACAACTCAGTAACAAATAAAATTCTAATTGAAGAATGGGCAGAGAAACTACACAGATTTTTTTTCCAAATAAAACATCCTAAAGGTCAACAGGTACATGAAAAAGTACTCAACATCACTAATCATCAGGAAAATACAAATCAAAACCACAGTGAGATATTATTACCTTACACTTATCAGAATAGTGGTCATCAAGAAGGCTAGAATTAAGAAGTACTGGCGAGGAAGCAGAGAAAAGGGAACCCTTGTACAGTTGGTGGGATTATAAAATTTGTTCAGCCACTATAGAGACTAGTATGGTAATTCCTCAAAAAATTTTAAAAACAGAAATAACATATAATCCAGTAAGCCCACTTCTGGGTATATATCAAAAAAGAAATGAAAACAGGTTACTGAAGAAATATATGTAGTCCCACGTTTATTGTAGTATTATTCAAAATAGCCAAATATTAAAATATGTGTCCATCAATGGATAAGAGGATTAAGAAGATGTGGTGTATACACAATGGAATACTATTCCACCACGAGAAAAAAAGGAAATTCTGCCATTTGCTACAACAGAGGTAGACTTTGAAGACATTATGCTATGTGAGATAACTCAGACAGAGGAAAACAAATACTGTATGGTATTTCTTATACATGAAATCTTTTTTTTAAAAAAAGTAAACTTGAAAACACAGAGAGTGGATTCATGGCTATGAGAGGCTGGGGAGTGGGGAAATGGGAGAAATATTGCTTAAGGTACATACTTGCAACTGGTAGGTAAGTAAGACCTGGAGACACAGTACAGTGAAAAAAACTGTATTATAAACACTGAAATTTCTAAGGACTAGGTTTTAATTGTTCCCACCACTAGAAGAAATGATAGTTATGTGCATGGCAGAGGTATTACCTAATGCTACAGTGGCGATCCTATTGAGATATAAATTTATCGAGTCAGTATGTTGTACACCTTAAACTCATACAACATTACATGTCAATTATATCTCAATAAAAGATTTTTTAATAAAATAAAGGAACAGAAAATATGATGCAAACAGTAACAATAAGAGAGATGGAGTGTCCATAGTAATATAAAAATATAAACCAACATTATTATTTGAGATAAAGAGGGGTATTTCATAATGATCAAGGATTAATTCATCAGCAAAATACAATAATTGTAAACATTTGTATCTAACAAAGGATACTATACAAAGCAAAAATTAATAGAAGTGAATAAAAATGGAAAATTCAGCAATAATAGCTGGAGACTTCAATGACCCATTCTAGGTAATGGACAGCAAAATGAGACAGAATATCAAAAAGGATATAGAAAACATAAACAGAACTATAAGGTAGATATAACTGACAGCTTTAGAACAATCCAACCAATAACAACACAATATAAATTCTTCTCAAATGTACATAAAACTTTCCCAAAATAAATGATATGATAAAACAACAAAACAAGTCTCTGGAAATTTAAAAGGATTTATATCATACAATTTATGTCCTCAAACTACACTGGAATTAAATTAGAAATCAACAACAGAAGAAAATTTAATTCAAATTGAAATTTTTAAATTGAAAATTAATTTAAGTTGTGGAAATCCTTAAAAAAGGAACAGGCAGAGACAGAGAAAGAGAAAGGGGGAGGGAGAAAGAGAAGCAGAAAAAAAGAGGAGAAGTGGAAGAAGAAGAAGATAAAAGAGAGGGAGGGAGAAGATCCAGATTAGAAAGGAATAGATAAAACTGTGTTCATTCACAGATTACATAAATTTATATGTAGAAAACCCTAAGAATTTTACGGACACAAGCACAGACACACACAGACCCAGCATCCTGGGATGGAACCCCATATCGCATCTCTGCTCAGTGGGGAGTCTGCTTCTCCCTCCCCCTGCTCTTGTGCTCTCCCTTGCTTGCTCTCTCTCCCTCTCAAATAAATAAATAAAATCTTTTTAAAAAAGATAACAGGAGGAATCCTTGTGGTGATGTAACTAGTCTTTATCTTGTCTGTGGTGGTAGTCATATGAACCTATGCCTATGGTAAAATTGCATAGAACTAAATTCACACACACATACACCCACACAAATGAATACATGTACAACTGTGGAACTCTGTAAGATGGGCAGATTGTATCATGTCAATTTTGTGGTTGTGATAGTGTACTATAGTTATGCAAGACGTTATCATTGGGAAATACTGAGTAAAGTGTAAACAGGACCTCTGTATTACTTCCTACAATTATATGTGAATCTTTAATTATCTTGAAAAAAAGCTTAATTTATAAATGGGCAAAAGATTTGAATAGACATTTCATCAGAGAGGTATATAATGAAAAACAAGCACGCGAAAAGATGTTCAACATCATTAGTCATTAGAGAAATATAAAATAAACCTACAATGTGATACACTTCATTCCCACAAGAATAGCTCTAATAGGGGCTCCTGGGTGGCACAGTGGGTTAAAGCCTCTACCTTCAGCTCAGGTCATGATCCCAGGGTCCTGGGATGGAGCCCCACATCAGGATCTCTGCTCAGCGGGGAGCCTTCTTCCCCCTCTCTCTCTGCCTGGCTCTGCCTACTTGTGATCTCTCTCTGTCAAATAAATAAATAAAATCTTAAAAAAAAAGAATAGCTCTAATAAAAAAGAACATAAAAGTTGTTGGAGAGAATGTGGAGAAAATGGAACTCTCATACATTTCCAGTTTAGAATGCAAACTGATCTACATTGAAAAACAGTTTGGCAGTTATCTTAAAATCAACACTCTTACCATATGACCCAGCAATTCCTCTCATAGATATCTACCCTTGAGAAATTAAAACCTATGTTCACACAAGGACATGTATGTGAATTTTCATAATATCCAAAATGTGGAAGCACACCAAATATCATCAATAAATGAATGGATAAACAAAATGTGATATACCTTTACAATGACACACTATTTATCAATTAAAAGGAATGAAGTACTTGTGCAAGACACAACATGAATAAACTTCAAAAAAGTTATGCTAAGCAAAAGAAACTAGATACAAAAGACTACATATTGCATGATCCAATTTATTTGAAAATGACCAGAAAAGAAATCTTTAGAGACAGAAAGTAGATTAATTATTGCCTGGGGCTAAGGGTCAGAATGGGGAATGGTTGAAAATGTAATAGTGATTTCTTTTGGGTGTGACAGAAATGTTGTAAGATTAGTTTGTAGTGATAGTTGCACAATTCTGTAAATTAACTAAAATCACTGAATTGTACACTTAGAGAAATAGAGTGAGTGAGAGAAAAAGGAAGGAGGGAGGAGAGGACTCTTTTAAAAGTTACATTTCTTCTCAGATGTTCTAAGATTGAAACCCCCTCCGATGGTTACACCTATGACCTCTTGCCTCAAGTCCCCATCCATCAGAGAGGGCAATTACTCCCATGCCCTGCTTAGCTCATCAGACAGAAAGTTATATGGCCTGCTTTCTTCTCCACCCACTCCTAGCTTTAGTATTCTTGATGGTTGCTAAACTATCATTTAAAAATCATGTCACTCCTTGTGTTTACTGACAAAATGTGTTTTTCTCAGCTTGCCCAATTCCAAATTCTCCTATGGTTCATCAGAATAAATTACTTTTGGAATTATAAATGCATTTTCAGCACAGTGTATATGCAAGAAAGCAGACCATATTTGTGAGTTTCTTCAAGCAATAGCACTGCTTTGTTCTTTTGACATCTGAGTAAATGTCAGAGACCACTCTCCATTTTGGCAGTATAATTTCCCCCTCCCTCTCCTTCTCTCCCATCCCCACAGCCATCATTTCTTCACTCTTACCATAGTTCCAGTATCTCACTAGCACTTATCACAAAGTCCACCCGTTATACTCCTTTCCCTTTCTCTCCTTCAAATATCCTTTCCTATCCTAATCCTGACTGGTGAAAAGGAGAAATTACCATATAAGTAATAAGCAGCAAAATACTTCCCTCTAGTCAGTGACTTAGTGGACTTTTATGGATAATATAACATGTTTGGAAAATTTTTGGTATTGCCTATGACTTTTTTGCTTTTTGAAAGGGAAGAACTGCTCTGAAATATGGTTTTGATCTTAAGTCTAAAGTATTTCACTCCCATAAATAACATATGACAAGTTTTTATTAATATCCAAGTAAAGCAGATATATTGTATCTGCCCTATCAGAAGGCTCTTGTAAAATATTTTAGATTAGTAGGCAAAGTTCTCTATAGTATAAAAACTAACTTTTGTTGCTTATTGATAGTGTTGCAACATATTTTTAAAGTTCTAAAAATAAGGTATTGAGTACAAAACACTTTTTTCACCTTAATAACAGAAAATTATTGATAATAATAGTTTGAACAGTGCTGCCTATAAAACTAATTTCTTCCCCCCTCATGCATCCTAAATGCTCTGTTTATATTGCTATACCACTAGAGTAATACTCAAGTAATACTTAAAGTACAATTATGGGGTGCCTGAATGGCTCAGTTGGTTAAGGGATTAACTCTTGGTTTCGGCTCAGGTCATGATCTCATGGGTCCTATGTTGGGCTCCACACTCAGCTTGGAGTCTGCTTGAAGATTCCTTCCCTCTGCCCCTTCCCCTGCGCATTTTCTCTCTCTCAAATAAATGAATAAATCTTTAAAAAAATAAAGTGCAGTTATGTCTGTTTCCTCACTCTCACCATCAAATTGGAATGGAGCTGTAGTGTAGCATAAAGAGCAGTGAAGCTGATATTAAAATACCTGGATTACAGGATTTGTTTTATTAATAAGCAGCTACATGACTTTACTGTCTTAATGAACCCTGAACTATGACAAGGATTTCTGTGCTGCTGTTAAGTATTAAATAGTTTGACACATGGATTGGAAACTCAAAATATGCGATCCCTACATTTTTGTGGGCATAGAGAAGATAGGAAAAAATATTTAAAATAAAAATTTTTAGACAAAATGTTACCACAGACCTTAACAAATTACTTAAACTTCCTGAGACTCAGTTTTGCCAGCTATAAAATAGATATGATGATGCTTACCTTATAGGATTTTTTAAGGGTTAACAGATACTGTACATGAAAGAGATTAGCTCAGTGTCTGGAAGATGGACAATATTAATTAATATTTCCTTAGGTTGGAATGCTCCCTCCACCCCCTCCATGGCCTTCTTCCCTGTTAAAAAAAAAATACACACACAACTCCAAACTTCAAACACCTTTCAAGAAACAGCCTAGAAGGTACCACTCTACAAAGCCTTTCCAAACAACGTCAGGCAGGGTGGCCCTTTGGTTAAGAGTACTGGGCTTTTTTGAAAAAAGAAGAGATTCCCAAGTTTAAAACCAGGTCCGCCATTAATAACCCCATGACCTTGGGCACGTTACCTATACCTATACTCCGTGCATCTAGGTCTCCCATCTGTAAAGTAAGATCATTCTGGTACATATCCCATGCAGTTATGAAGTATTAAATGAGATACACACAAAGAGTGCTTAGCACAGTCCCAGACACTAAGTCTTTTATTAAGTATTACAGTAGGAGTAGAATTAGTAATACAAAGTTTCCTCTTCAGTAAAATGTTAATGAAAAATGCCTCCCAGGGTGGCAAAATGCTGATGCAAAAGTATTTTAAAGTGTCATGCTGAACAAACATGCGTAAGGGGTTGGTATATAGCTGGAGATATCTGGGGCAAAGTTCTAACATCACGTTATAGAATATGCATTCCCTGCACTGGGTGGGGGGGTGTGTGGAAAATAATACCCACGACTTATTAATGGGAACTAAAGCCAGAAGATATGACCCCCGACTCCAAGCAGCACAAGTCCAAAGAGTAGTATTAAGCACAGAACCCGCAGACCCGGCCTCGATAATTCCCCGGAGTTCACCTCTAACGCCCCCTTTCCTTTAGAGCCGCGCAAGCGTAGATTGATTTTGTTCCTCTCTTCTTCGTGCCCCCGCCTCCAACACCACCCCCCCACCTCGTCCGCCTCAACACGCAGGCGCATCTCTTCAAATCCTGTCCCTACCCCCGCCCTCTTTCTCTTCGTTCCCCCTCCTCTTACAGCACCTCTGCAGGTTCAAACTCTGCTCCGTGAGGGTGGCGGCGATCGAGAGGTCACGTGATGAGCATCCTGCTGCCCAACATGGCGGAGTTCGACACCATCTCGGAACTGGAGGAGGAGGAAGAAGAAGCGGCAACGTCGTCGTCCTCGCCGTCGTCGTCGTCGTCGGTATCGGGGCCCGACGACGACGAGGAAGATGAGGAGGATGAGGAAGAAGAGGACGACGAAGAAGAAGAGGAGGAGGAGGAGGAGACACCGCCCCCGCCTCGGGTAGTGAGTGAGGAGCATCTGCGGAGATATGCCCCTGATCCTGTATTGGTGCGGGGCGCCGGCCACATCACTGTGTAAGCAAGAGGGGCTATGGGGTTTGAAAACGCTGAGATTTGTCGACAGAGGAATGAGAAGGTGGTCGAGGGGCCTTTGGGGTGGGGGAGGGCTGACTGAGGCATACAGTTAGAAAAAGACACCAGGTCTAGATGGAGAAACCGAGGGAGATACGCGTAAAGGAAGTGAGGAGAATGCAAATGTGATGCACCAACATCAGGTAAAGAGTGAGTATAGGACAGAGAGGTTAGAGGTTTGAGATCCAGAGGGATTGGAGTAGAGCTTCTGTATATGCCGGCAAGTAAATAGTCTTTAAACTGCAGGATGTACCAGAGGATTCTTTGCTGCTAAGACTGGTGTGTAGTGGAACACGGTGACTGCTGTGACATGTTATAAGACCTAGGCTTGGATTCTTCCAAACAGAAATATGACATGTTTCATGAATAATATTAAAAAATATCCACCCACCCACATATTCCTTCATCCATTCTTCCTATCTAATACTTATATGAATGAATATAATAATCCTTTCCATGTCTTGATAATTCATTCTGACATTCATTAAATATCACACAATTAGAAGTTCAGATTAAGAGGTAGTTGTGAAATGTAAAGGAGCAATAGATTGAGAGTGACGGCTCTTGGAACTTAGTCCCAGTTTTGCTTCTTACTGGCTCTGTGACCTTGCTTAGGTTACTTCCTATTTCTGGGCCTTAATTTCTCCATCTGTAAAAATGAGGCGTGTGGGGTAAATGGTTTCCAAAGCCTTTCACCTCTGAGATGAGATACTTATACGAGATTTTGTATGCCCAAACATTAAATATGCAGATATGAAATACTTACATAAATTATTCCCCCAGGAGCTGAGGTTGATTTTTTTTTTTGAAAACTTATGCAGAGTGACTTTTTAAAAAATTGAAGTCTTGGATCATATTTGAGAAAATAAAGGAAGGAGACACCTCATAGCATAGGAGTTGCAAAGCAAAAGAAAATTTTCATGGCTTTCTGCGCTTTGAAGAGTGCTTTTTCTTTTTTATGTGCTTGGGCTGTATATACTCGAAAGTTTGAGTGTGTATCTTGTTCATCCTCTTAACTATGCTGTCTTTTCCTGCATTTTCCTATCACTGCCTCTAATTTTGATAATGACTCACCTAGTCCCTTCGACTTTCAATTGAGTTCATATTATCAGAAATCATGTATTATAATATGCAACACCTCCCCCATCATGTTAGCCTTTAATTTTAACATGTAAAATATTTTGATTGTAATATATTTTTGTGATCTTTGCATGAAATATATTAAGGAAGATTTTGAAATTGTGGAAGAGTTTGGGAAGATTTTTAGACCAGCTTTTTGGTTAGGCAATTATTTTAATACGATTTTTCTTGGTCCAAGAGTTTTGCAGATAGCCTACAATGATCAGATGCCAGCTTACTGTGCTATTTTACTTTTATTCCTTTCATCACTAGGGAGACAATTTATTACTCAAACTAATTATGATTCTGGCACCAAAGGTTACTTTCATGCAGATTTTTTCACATGACTGAACAGAAAAAGGGTTTTTTTCCAGTCTGTAATTTTATATTCCCAACATTCGTCCCCCTCCTTATTTTCTAACACTCAGAAAACAGAGGAGGAGCAAGGAAACAGAATTTAAGTTAATAGAAACTTATTTGTGGTACTTTTCACACAATCGTGGTGAAGTACTTATCAACCTATTTTCAATTAAAAGCAAAGCGCTGACACTTGCCATATCTAGGGCCTTGTGATAGTTATAATGTCCCACCCAGCTTAAAAATTCTGAATTAGGAGTGTGAAGTAGTCGTGCTGGAAGTAACTATTGGTATTAACTGAAGCCAAAACCTGAAAAGCTGCAAACCAGTACTTGAACCACTAACCAATGTATATAGTTTGGAAAATTATTTAGTTGTGTTGTACACATTCTCTCAACTGAAAAGCACATTTGATCTTAAATGTCTGAGATCTGAAAAAAACATTAAATGTTTAGGAGAAAGTTTTATTGAATCTGAAAAACTGGCCTTTCTATGATAGTGAAACTTTCACGGTATCAGGTAATGTATGATCCTTATGAAGTAGTTAATCTAATTCTGAAACATCTAAAATAATCAGCTTCCGTTAAATTTTTTTCTGGCATGTGAGTGTTAGAGTTGTCCTATCTGAATGAAATATTTCTTATCCTCTCCTACCTCTTATTTTTTCCATTCTCTGTGCAGTCATCTATTCTATACAGGACTTTGTTTCTTTTCTAAGTTTAAAATTTGAGAACCATTGGTTCGAACTCAGTATATCTTAAGCCATCATTTTCCGTCCCCACATTGGTTGTGCATTCCAGTTGCCACATTTCTGATCCTGATACCACCACTCTAATCTTCTGGGGTAGTATTTCAAATCCTTGAGTCATTTTTTTAAAGATTTTATTTTTATTTATTAGGAAGAGAGATAGCGAGAGCAGAAACACAAGCAGGGGTGGTGGGAGAGGGAGAAGCAGGCCCCTTGCAGAGCAGGAAGCCCAATTTGGGGCCATCCCAAGACCCTGGAATCATGACCTGAGCAGACGCTTAACGACTGAGCCATCCAGGCACCCCTCCTTGAGTCATTTTAACTCTTCCTTTTCCTTGACTTGTCAAGTGCCACTCTATCCCAGAATTATATCATCATATATTTGAAATGTCTATTAAACTTTTCGTTTTCTCTATTTCTGCCGGCACCACCCTAGTTTAGGTTGCCATCAACTCCTGCTTGAATTATTGCCACAGTCTGCCACTTTTTTCCACTCCAATACATTCCGCACGCTGGTGCCAAACTAATTTTCTTAAAACAGAGTTTAATCATGTCACTTTCCTGCTGAAAAACCTGCACTAGATCTTAATTAGATCTGAATTCTTATGCTCTCTTCTTCCAGCCTCAGAGGTCAAAGAGTTCCTTCACTTGTCCAAAGTTCACTGCTTCACTTGTACTTTCTGTACCCTTCTTTTCCAGCCTCCCAAATCTTGCTCCATCAGGTAGCCCCATCTCTCTAATATTACCTCTCTGCATCAGCCTATAAACATATTCATATTTTCTCTCTTTCTTTAAAAACAAAATAAGACAAAGCTTTCCTAGACCTATGTTCCCCTTTAGCTACTGTCTTGTCTTCCCTTTCCTCTCCAGATTTCTTAAGAGTAGCTACAGTCACCATACGTCTTTCCTTTTCACTCTTCTGTAACCTGGATTCTACCACCTTGATCACAGCCCAAGGGGTGGGGAAGAACTAGCCTTGTTAAGAGCACCATGACCCTCTTGTTGCTACATTTTTTAAAAAGATTTTATTTATTTATTTGACAGACAGAGATCACAAGTAGGCAGAGAGGCAGGCAGAGAGAGAGGAGGAGGAAGCAGGCTCCCTGCTGAGCAGAGAGCCTGATACAGGGCTCGATCCCAGAACCCTGGGATCACGACCCGAACCAAAAGCAGAGGCTTTAACCCACTGAGCCACCCGGGCGCCCCTTGTTGCTACATTTATGGGCATTTTTCATTCTCTTTATGGTCCTCTCTGCTGTATATGACACTTATAACGACTCCCTCTTTTTTGGAGGCTTCTATTCTAGGGGTCGCAAACACACACGCCTTCAGAGGTAACAGAGGTCACAGAAAATGGTGCACCATGATTAATGGGGTCTCAGTTGAACTAGAAGGTAGTATATGTTTTTCCTAAAGGTATTCAAATTCTGATGTAAAAACATTTTGCCAGTCAAACAAACCTAAGAATTCCTTGGCCACTTCACTCTCCTGGGTCTCCTGTATTTTTCTGGTGATTATTTAACTCTCTCATTCATGGACTTCTCTTACTCTTTTGACCCTTGAATACCAGTGGTCTCTGAGGTTTTGTTCTCAACCTACTACTCTTCTCATTCCCTATTCTGCCTAGATGATCTCATCGTGATTCTCATGGTTTCAATTATCTGACATCTCCCAAATATTTATCTATGTGCCACACTTTGCTGAGACTTCCACCTGGGCTTCCTCACCTGACAGCCCACTGTCATCCTAAATTCTGCATATTCAAAACAGAATTTATCCCCCCCCCAACCAATCCCCTTATGCCTCCATCCCAAACCCTCAAAAAAAAAAAAAAAAGTCCCTCCTGTTTCCGTTTTCCATCTCAGTTCAGTGTACTTCCACCTATCTCATTATTGATCCTTGGTTCCTCTTTCTCACTTATATTTATCAGCAAGTATTAATAATATATGTCCTAAAAATTTCTTCTTTTTCTCCCTACCGGCACTTCCCTGATTTGAGCCCCTTTCACCACCCTAACCAATCAACTTGTCTTCATCCTTGTCAACTTCACATCCATTCCCCAGCCTGCTGCTAGATTGAGATGCCATTTTACTGCCCAAGACTATTCTGTGATTTTCCCTTTATCCACAGGATAGAATCTAAGCTCCATACATGGCATATAGAACTGGACCCTGCCTATCTATCAGCCTAATCTGCTGACATTTCCCCTTATGGCTTATATTTTCCTGTTCCTAGCATGCTATTTCTTATTTCTTTGCCTTTGCTCAAGCTAGGACCTCCACCTAGAATTCCAGTACCCACTGCCCTTACCCCAGCTCTCCATATGTCACCGCCTCCTGCAAGTCTTCTCTGCCCCCACTAAATTGTAAGCTGCAATAGCAGTAACAATTTTTAGTGCCCTCTGAATCCTCATGGCCTAGCACAGTGCTTCCCCTGAAGTAGACAATCAGTAAAAGTGAGTTGAAGGAATATTGGTTCACTTTAGTAACACTCAGTATTCCTACCATAATGTATGCTATATTTTAGGCCCTCAACAAATACCAGTTACTTGAATCATGCTGTGGAGAGTACTTCTGATTCTGAGCAAAGATCAATATGGGTACAGTAATATCACCAGTCCCAGTGATGAGGATTATGACATGGCCTTACCTCTGATATCTTTGTTAAGGCATCAGAATACCCCTATTTCTATCATCTTAACATATTGGCTTTCTAGTTA